GATTTGACTTTTTTTTAGATGAATTATGAGGTACATAAACATAAACAAAACAAAAAAAAGTTAAAAATAAAAATAAAAAATCATAACACTACTTGTAAATTGCTCTCTTCAGCTTAAGGCGCTCCTTTTGTTACTAAAAGTCTAATTTTTCTCGAGTCTAGATCATTTGTCAATCTCTAGATTAGGGATGACAATTAGGCAAGTTGAGGTGACCATTTCCATCCACAGTCCTCATTGGGTATTTTTGTCGCATTGTCCCGCCATATATTGGTCAAGGCGAGGTAGGGCGGGACGGGACAAGTCTCCTACCTCTCTTTTTTTTTTTTTTCATATCTTTATTAGATGAAAATCTTTACTTTTTTCCAAATTGTTAAGAGAAAAACCCATATTCCAATTAGAAAATGATAATAATTTTTGTCCTTATGTTTGATATAAAAAAAAATTTAATTTGAAATGGACTTTAAACGGGGCTAGTAGCGAGATAGGGTCCATATTATCCGTACTCGCCCCATTCCCCACTTCGGGGCAACAACCATTGCCTCGTCAGGTTTAATAATTTTTTTGGGCATCCCTACTTTGGATCCATGAAAGTCTGGCTCTCTTGAATATCAAGTGTGTTGACCAGAAATATAATGCAAGTCTAGATGTCCGGGAACTAGTAATCTCCGTTCACTTTTAGGAGTGTAAGAACATAATTTCTATGTTTTAATAAACACAAATCACGACTACACATAAACCGTTTGTGTTAATGCTGCAACACTCAAACAAATTTAACGTTGGAACACTCGAAAACAAATCATTATTATTGAAATTCGAAATTGAATTAAGTTTGATGTACACTCATTGTGTATACCTCGTTTGACACCTGTCTATATGTCAAAATTTGGCCATTGTTTGAAAAAAATTGTTGTTAAGATTAATGATAGAATCTTGTCAGCTCACGTGAATATCAAACTAGGTGTTAAACAATGTATACATGTGGCATGACTCTTCTAAATTACACATTTCTACAAGTTTCAAAATAATTCATAACAATGTATAGTGAATTACTATTTGAGAGTTGTCACTATTCTGAGATGCTTATGGCTAGGAGTGGGCATTAGGTCGGGTAGGATCGATTTTGGGCCTAACTCGAACATATCCTACTTAAGTTAATTTGGCCCACACTATAACCGACCCAAACTAGTTCGGTATCACAAATCTAACCGAGACCCCACCACATTCAGGTCGGGCCGTGTCGGCGGTCTGACAAAACAGTCCAAAAGTTTAGAACCTAAAAGTAAATGAGGAAATTATATAAATCCAGGTTTTTTAAAATACCAGTGCAAAAATCAGTGTGGGAAGTT